AACCCCCAAAAACTTTTTTCATTGTACAACAAAATGTTTCAAATAAAAGTTGTTTGATTTAAAGAGAAATAGAAGATGACGCTACTGACTTCTTTCTGAAGAGTGTCTTTCAAGGACATTTAAAAGTCATTTATGTTCTTTTTACAGTAAAATTATTATAATTGTTTACATAAATCAATTCTTTGAAATTTTTGATATAAAAAATTATAAGAGTAAAAATATATTTTTGTCGAAATATGAATATTTTACATAGTTTATGTATCATTAGTGTTAAATTTAGGTATAAAATATCTTTTATACTATTCTGTTTTTGGCTATCTTACCCTTATAACTTTTTATACTAAAAATTACGAAGAATCGATTTATATACAAAAAATTTTAATTCAATTTTAAAAAATATAAATAACCTTTAAATGATCTTGAAAAACGTCCGTTAGGAAAAGTTAATAGCGTCATCTTTTATCCCCTTTTCGAATTAAACAACTTTTGTTTATTGTACAGTCAAAAATAAAAATTTTTAGCGATGGTCGATTAAAATTGGATACCCCTAAATTGTATAATTATTAATACAAATATTATTTCATATATTTCAAAATTATTAAGAAAAAGATATAGTACACAATTCAATTGAAGAATATGTGAATCCATTGTTAATAAATCCGAAATTAAATTCACATAAATATGAATGTTTTCATTGTACATTCGTAGCAGAGATTATATATTATGATTCTTAAAAATTATATATTATGTAAATATATGTATCGATTAGTGAAGCGCATAATTAGATTTAACTAATTGTAAAATTAAAATCGTACATCGTACAGACATTTGTTACCTCATATTTTTCACAAAGGTACTTGAATCACATAAGTTTTTGCATCAATCATTACTGCAATCTGATAAATTAATGAATAATTAATAATATAATATCGCAAACATTTTCCATAAAATGATTATACGATTATTGATGAAATATAAATATAATTATGAAAAATAAGCAATTTTGAAATATTCAAAAGAGGGAATAAAGTAACAAAAAATATTTTAAAGTTACATAACAATCACGTATAACAATTATAATATGAACAAAATAATACGAGAGTCATAGTAGTAGATTGTGTATTCTTTCTTTTTGTATGCGTTAGATTTCTCATACAATGATAATAAGAATAATGACCAAAATCTTTTGCCGGACATTGAGCAAGTATCTTATTTTTGCAAATAAGAACACACATCTCATTACAAATGATTAAAAGTGTTTTTCTTTTGTTAATAATTAATTATCATATGGAGAGAGACTCAACCATATTATTCTATATCAAAATATAACAAATGCAGTAATAATTATATCATATCAAAATTACGAGTGTAATTAAAGACAACACAGATTTATAGCAAGTACCTTTAGTTATAAATTGTGATATAAATGTTCAGCGATTTTCTTTAGATATTACAATTTTTTACGCAATTCATTATTATACAATATTTCTAGTGATTATGTGTATGGTTTTTCTTTGTCCGGACCGTACTGATAATTCTTCCTCGATATTACGAATTTTCTTTATTTTTCAGTATAAATTGTGCACAAATAAAGTAATAAGTCAAAGTTTGATTCTCTATAATCTTCAATTAATAATATACGCAAAAAAGTAATTACAACAGTGATCTATCAATTCCAACATGGAAGAATCATTCGCACAAGACGCAGAGCATATAAATATAAATATGTGTGTCGGTATTATTGTAACTTGTCAAAAATATAGCATTTAATTTAACCTGCCCTATTGTTGGTTTCTTTTGTGCAATAAAAAAGTAAAAAATTGAATTGTTCAAAAATCACATCTGCAAGCACACAAACCTCGATAAGATATGAATAATTTTGAAAATAATATTCGGTAAAAAGTAATTTTTCTTTGCATTGTTTAAAACATAAAATAGTATAATATCAATAACATGCATAGACTTTTTTATTATTCATTATCAAATAGGTTTCTAATTTAGTAATAATGACAATATTTAATTTTTAAATGCGATAAATAAAATCAAAGGCATACAAAAAATGTAATACATTTTTTTACGTGCTCCAAAATGTAAAAAACAATTGACGAAACCAACAACGGCGCCAGTAAATATATAAATATTTAATTGTATGTTTTCATTTTTTTTCATTTCACGATATTAGCTAATTATCCATTTTGTTACTCTCCTATTACTCTATTTTGTAGCTAAATTTGTTGCTTTCACAATAATTTACGTTCTTAATATATTTTATATTTTTAATTGTGTTATTGTGTTATAAGAAGTAAAATAATACTATATATATATTTATATATAGTAGCAATTGTTCATATATATATAAATCCTATTATGCTCTAGAAATATCATTTTTAAATTTTTTGTTAAACATAACGCGATCACAACTTTCCTCCAATTGCTCTTTAAAAAATGAAGATTCTCCTGTTTATGAATTGGATATGATCCCCTTTTTATGTGTCTGCGTGTGTATGTATGTATGTATATTTGTAACCCTGTTATCTTAAAATACAAATACAATAGAAAAAAGTTTGATCGCGGAATATCATTGAAAAAAATCCACATTCTTTATAAGTACCCGTTTTTAACAATTCGCGGTGTAATAAATTTCCACGATATTACTAATAACTCTTTTCATCAATTATATTTATTGTAGATTCTCTCTTGTATCAACCGAAAGAATTTATTTTACTTAAAATTCTTACTTTATTTTATCTTCGTTTCTTTTTCAATATTTAAATCTCTGATAATGTTCAAACCACGTATATCAATGCGTAAAAATGTCAAGTTGATACGTGAAAAAATATATTTTATATATAGAGAAATATATCAATAACATTCCTGTACTTATAAAGAATGCACTGAATAGACGCAAGGGAAAATACATTATTATGTTTAAATTCTACATAATTTTTTTCTTTTTCGAAAATGGTGTTATGGTATATGCGGCCTCTAAGAAAATTAAAATGTCTCTGTGTATATTGTTATTAATAAGTGTAATATAATAATATTAATTGAAAAATAAAGATAGAAAGAAGAAAAAGAAAAACTGTTTTCTTATATCTGGTTATTATCTGAATGTTTAAGAAATAAATAATAAAAATAATGGAGTTCTTTTTAATTGCTCCACACAATCTCTAATTAACAAAGTAAAAATATATATATCAATAAAACGTGTATTTTAATATTTCTGTATGTTATCCTATTCTTTTTTTAACAGTATCTCTTTAGACCATATATACCATAATAGAGAAATCGTTTTTTCTTTGTTATTTTAATATTACATTTTAATCTTAATAATTTATAATACAAAAATAAAGGAATAAAAACATTTACTTTTCTTTTTTGGCCTCACTTTTTGATAGTTGACTATAGAGAATTAAAGGAGAAAAAAAGAAAAACGAAAGCAACTGCTGCATAAATATCAATAGTTAAGTAAATATATATATGTACGCTATAATACCCCATTGTACAAAGAGTTTTATATTAAAGCTCCTGGCTCCTTACTAACCATGTTGTGACGTTAGAGGCGAGAAAACACGCTAAAAATTCCCAGATGCAATTTCGAAATCTCTCTCCTTTAAAAATAACATTTAAGAATTTTTAGACTGTGCTTTCTTGCCTCTGACGTCACAATCTGACCCAGAAGTCTTAAGAATAAAAAAAGGATATTTAATTCTATATAAATCAGCAAACAACTTACAAGTCGTGTAAAAATTGTCAAGATTTTTTATTTTGTGGGGAAGGGGTATTATATTTTGAACTTTTTTAATAATTTCATAGCTATAAATCCCGTAAATACATATTGAATAAGAATAATCTTAAAAATTAATTATTGTAACATTTTGATACCTAAATATTGTATGAAGAAAAATTTGATAATGTTGATCCTATCTATCCTAATCGTTATATCTTAGGCAATATATATATTTATTATTTTTCATATCATGACTATATAGTCATTTTTTATCATAAAGTTTAACACACAACTACATCTTTAAAATGAATATAGAGCCGGGTATACATAAGGACGCATCTCTCACGTCCTAATTAAACATGCTTCATGTTACTGAACTGTAACACGTATGTCACACATGTTTGACTTGTATTCTTTATATATATATATATATATATATATATATATTATTTAATTATTTATTTATTTACGAGTTATTTTTTGATTAAATTGGAAAATCCTAAGTATCTCTAACATCCTTATATCTACAATTGTAAAAACCTACAACATGAAATGAGGATAATTGGTTTCAGTAATCTACTTGAATTAGTTTAAAAGATTAACTTCTTCGTTACTATCACACGCTATTTAATTTAAATATGTCTTTCTAATAATTCCATCGCACAAATACAAGTACATATATAAGCATATTTAAGATCCTAAAGATCGAGAGAAGAGATTGTATTACAAAACACATGTATATGAGACAGCCACATTATTATAGAAAAACGCGCGCACGTGTTTGTGTATTTCATATATGTATATATATAAAATTGTTAAAAAATATCGGTTATTGTAAATTTTGTAATATGTGTCCGAAGTATAAACGTTTTTCCTGATAAATTGTAGCTTTCATATATATTATATATGTATCCTATAAACGTAAAAAAGTGACGAAATGAAAGAAAGAGGAAAGCGATAGGAGAATATCAATTAAAAACAGAAAGAAAGTGAAAACGAGTAATATAGATATATATATATATATTCATATAATACCTTTTTCATATATAATAAAATTGGTTACTACCTATTTCGCGGTTGTTTTCCGCGGTACTCTATAATGTTACAACTATAAGAAATCTTTGTATAATGATTTGTGTGTCTGTGTATTTTTTGTATGCGTGTATGTGTTATTAGATATATAAAAACCTAGAAATTTTATATATATAATATATATTTATGTACCTCTTATATATATATAATATTTATATTTTCAATATTAGGTTTCTCAACAAAAAATATAAAATTTGTTAATACTTATATATTTTATTATATTCAGTACGAATCAATTGGAAAATCCTATTAAATATATATATTTAAATATAATAGAAATATCATTTCTTCTGTGACATACGTTTCACAGCTCAACCATTTGAGAAAAAGATTTTATCTCCCATTCTATTTAATGCAAAATGGGAAAAAGACTTTTTTGTTGCGTTTATGTCTTTATAATTAATTTGTTTTAAACAATTATATAGTTCTCGAGGTCCCGAAACTTTGTGATTATATCTTCGTCTTCGCATTAAATGTTCTGTTTAATCCACCCGCGCAAATGCTTATTATTATTATTATATATCGCAAATGCTAAATGTTGTAATAGTTAACACCCTGCTAAATATATATATATATATATATATATATATATATATATGTGTATGTATGTATGTACTTTGAGAGATCATATATAAAATAAAACATTTTCTTCTTTTGGAGGATACTATTAGGATGCCGTTTCTTATAGAATTGCATTTTTTTTAAATGTGATATTAGCTGAATAATAATAATAATAACAAGAAAAAAATATCAACACATGTAATGTAACAAGATTAGAAGATTAAAAAGAAAAGAGTCCTACCATATTCGTACTTTGGCGACTGGTAAATCCTTATTAACTCGCAGGCTGATATCATGCTTACCGCGCTTAAGAGACAGGTTCTTTTTTTTCATATTTTGTTACTTTATCAGAGTACTAAAAAATACAAGTTCTTGCAAACTCGTGATACTCTACTTACATGATATTTTTTGTTTTATTTTCAAAGACTGCCCCCCGCCCTTTCTCTTATTTCTTTCTTTCTATAAAGCGGAAATTGTAACAACTCGGAGAGTCTAAGAGGAGGAGGTTCGGACCTAACTTGTCGAGACGACTGGAGTCTGGCAGTACGGACACTCGCGTTGATTCGGAGCGCACGTCGAACAGACCACGTAATGATTGCAGGGCGATAATGTGACCGTGCGATTTTGTTCCTCGCAAACCATGCACTTTGTTGCCGTTTCCCTATACAGCACCTTCGAACACAGGACAAAAACCATAATAAGATTTCAGTGTGATATAATATATATACAATATATTAAAATAGTTTTTATTAAAGAAATTGAAAGTGACCTTCATGTGATCTTTAAATAATTATCCAAGGTCACATCATTAAAATGGAACATTATATATATATATATATATATATATTTTTTAATGATTTAATGATAAATATTTTAATCATTTAATGATGAATATTTTAATAATTTAATGATATGACCTATAATTATGCGAAGGTCACATAAAGGTCACTTTCAATTTCTTTATTAAAAACCACTATTTTTCAATGCATATATTCTTGTAGCTCAACTTGAGAGTTTTATAGAATATAATAAAATATTTTTTCTTTCAGTGCTTTTTGAATTATACCCAAGTAGAACAGAAAAGTCAAAATAATATCAATATAACGTCAAAAAGATATTATTTTGACTTTTTGTTCTACTTGGATAATATGCAAAATATGCATTTAAAAATAGGGGTTTTTATTTAAAAAATTGAAACTGACCTTTAAGTGACCTTAAAATTATTATCTAAGGTTACATCAATGACAACGTCTTATTATGTCCCTTAAGCATTATCCAAGTAGAACAAAAAGTCAAAATAATATCTTTTTGACGTTATATTGATATTATTTTGACTTTTCTGTTCTACTTGGATAATGCTTAAGGGACATAATAAGACGTTGTCATTGATGTAACCTTGGATAATAATTTTAAGGTCACTTAAAGGTCAGTTTCAATTTTTTAAATAAAAACCCCTATTTTTAAATGCATATTTTGTATTTTATACAAAAAATACTGTATCTTTCGAGTCTCACAACTCGAAAAATACTTAACGGAAAAAATTTATTAGAGTTTTGAAAAGCTCTCGAGATAAGCAAAAATATGTATTGAAAAATAGGAGTTTTTATTTAAGAAATTGAAGACTTCTTCATGTAATCTTCAAACGATTATCCAAGTCACAATGGCACCATCTTATGTCCCTCTTCAAACCAAACATAACTTTTGTCTGAAATGTTTTTCTATATCTTTCATATTTTTGGATATTTGCCTGACTCATTTAAAATAAAACACTGTATAATAAAATATGATATACTCTATCATTTTTTCTTTTTTTCATATAATTATATTAACTATTTTATCCAGTAGCGAATCCTGATATCAATTATGGGGGGGGGGGGATTGCAAAATTATTTATTATTTTTTGTTTTACGCTTAGCTTTTATTCAAGGATCAATGATAAGTTTTTTAATTTGCAAGAAGGGTTTTTTAACTCCAATCCCCCCCTCCCCCGATTTGTTAGTGGTTTTATCTATATATAAGGTAGATTATTTTAATGTCCTACCTTAAATATCTTTTTCCTACACCTTTTAAAAAATATTTCGAGCAAAAGTTATTTGATTCTAAGGGAAATACACGATATCAATTAGTGTTTACAGACATAGTACTTTCGTTTTTTTTCCATCACAAACCTAATTTTTTCGAACAAAAGTCACAAATCTCGTCGAGATAAATCTAATTATATATGTACATTTATTAAGGATTTTCTTGATATTAAATTAAAATTTTGATTTCATTGAAGTAATTTAATACTGTTGTGGAATAACCATTGAATATCATAATCGAAAAATCAAATAAAATTTAATTTGAGCAGAAAGTACTTCTCGAAGGAAAGGAAAACTAATATTCCAAATTTATAAAATTGTGCAACTTTATGGGAAAAAAATGTTTAATTTATATAGTTATATTTATCTCGATAAGACGTACAATTTTTGTTGAAAAAAAATATCGGTTTCCATTTTTTAAAAATGACAATTAAAGAATGTTTAGGTCTGTAAACAAATTGATATTCAAACAACTTTTGTGTAAAATGTTTATTTGTAAAAAAGAGAAAAATATATTTTACAGTGGGACATTAAAATGTGACCCACCATGTATATTGAATTGATTCATAAGTAAGTTTGATTTTACTTGACACACACACAAACTGAATTCTTTTATATTTATATTTATATACCTATATATTCTCCATTATTAAATAAAACTCTTGCTCTTATTTATTTTCCGGTAATTTCTTAATTTCTTTCTCAAAGAATTTTGAAAGTTTTTTAAAAATTCATCTCAACATTATAAAAATTTTTTCTAATTAATAAATGTTTTAAGTGATCTAAACAGATTAAAATCTGATGGAGCAAGATCCAGAGAATAAAAAAATGTGTAGAAGTGACGAAAACTGCAGAATTTTTTCTGGATTTTTTAGTCTTATTTAATATGACCTTGTTATCTATCATATAACAAAATTATTTTTGCAATTTATGAATGCAGATCATTTTCTTGCAATTTTTCTTATAGTTGCTACACCTATACCCTTACCTTCTCCACTTCTTCGAGATCCGAGCGCAATTGTGACTGAATTGATTTCAAAGTAGCTATCGATAACGACCTGAGCTCGCTTATTCGTCTCACCGAATGAAGATACGGACCACCATTAGATGTCTCATTCTCGACTCTGAGTGCTTTCATCTGCATTAAAGCCTACAAGGAAAAAAAAGAAAAAATTATTCCGGCAAATTCGGTTTGAATGTCACGAGAAGAGACCCGAGTGGAACAAAGAAATCGAAATTACAACAATTTGACGTCATTTGGACTCCAAATTTCATCAGTATGACGTTAAATTGACGTTATTGACTCTTCTGTTCATTTGGACTCTAAATTTGATCAATATGACGTCAAATTGACATTATTTTGACTTTTCTATTCATTTGGACTCCAAATTTGTTCAATATAACGTCAAATTAACATCATTTTGACTTTTCTATTCTACTTCAACTCCAAATTTGATCAATGACGTCAAATTGACATAATTTTGACTTTTCCGTTCTACTTGGACAGAGGGTGCTCGGTTAGTCGAGCGAATTCCTTACCTCGTCCCTCTGTTGCTCGGCTATATTGGCCTTTCTTTTCGCCTCTTCGCTTTCCAATTGCCATGCCGCGCAAGCCGCGCGCGCCTGATTAATACGCTCATCCCACGTTGCTAATTGTGCACGGCTCGAACTCAATTCGTCTCTGAGCCTTTGTACCTACGGGCATATAAGTATATAAGTATACAACCGATAACAGTCTCGTTTCTTGATATCAGAGAAGAAAAAAACTCTTTAAAATGCATTCCATCTTCACCTCGGATAACGATCCTGTATTACTTGGACTAATGGAAAATGCATTGACCAATGGAGATGCCGGCAGAGTGGGTTGCGTGCGCGACGGGGACATTCCTTGGCTCGCGAAATCGAATAAACTACTATTGAATCCACTAAGCTTAGAAGCCGAGCTGCTAAGCTGCGAAATGTGATTGCTAAATGGATCCGATATCTGATTCATAAATGGCAATGTCTGAAAGTAATCCGGGAAAACAGATTTGGTTAAACAATTTTTTAAGAAACTCCTTCGTAATATAGTCAGACAAACTTCTAAGGCGTATATCTCGCGTCAAAATGAAAACAAATTATACAGGGTGTCCCATTTTAATATCCCACTTCAAACAACTTTTATTTTTGATTGCAAAAGAAAATGTTTCAGACAAAAGTTGAACAATTTCGAGGACATAAGACGGTGCCATTAGTTTGACCTTAAATAGTTGCTTAAAGGTCGCGTGAAAGTTATCTTCAATTTCTTAAATGGAACCTATTTTTTCATTACATATTCTTGTAGCTCATCTCGAGAGCTTTCCAAAACACTATAATAAAGATAGAGAATGTATCGCTGTGAGGAGCCAAATATAATACTTAGTAATTCGCTAAGATGAGGAACAATCTCTAAATTGAGATTTAAATTCCTCTTCCCTTTACCCTCCTAAAATTGATGTAGACGAGAAAAATATATCGGTCCGAAAAAGTCGGCTGAGTTTCTCTATCCTGGTTATTTACGATAAGAGCATTCTAGCCATATTACTATAATAAAATATTTTTCTCTGAAATACTTTTTGAGTTATTAAGGTTTGAAGTTAACAATTTTTTTACGTAAAATGTAAAAGTAATGTATATCTTGTAAAATATTGTTTTCGGTAATCATACCTTAATACTTTTATGTACGGAATAATGAAACCTATCAATTGGTGTAAAAAAAACACAGTTACTTTTAAAAAAAGTAAGCAGTTGCACCAATGTAAATTACATACTTTTTTTAATTATTCGGTCTCATTATTCCATGCATAAAAGTATTGAGGTAAGATTATCAAAAACTGAATATTTTAAAAGATTTTCACAATTAATTGTTGATCGTCAGTGATAAAATTCTCACAAATAATAAGATGCAATTTAATTCGACCAAAAACTGGCTATTCATTTATTGAAAATAAGTACACACTACGTTTCGATCCACATTGTGGTCATTTTCAAGTGTTGTTCTTATTCAGCAATTACATTAATTAAAAATAGAAATATGAAAGTTGTCCTGTCATATCGACAATCTGTTAGCTACTGTATGTAGCTTGTAGATACAATACAAGAATATGTAATGAAAAAATAGGTTCCATCTAAGACAACACTTGAAAAGGACCACAATGTGAGTCAAAACGTAGTGTGTACTTATTTTCAATAAATGAATAGCCAGTTTTTGGTCGAATTAAATTGCATCTTATTTCAAAAGATATTTTACATTGTGTCAAAAAATTGTTAACTTCAAACCTTAATAATAACTCAAAAAGTACTTAAAAAAAAATACTTTATTATAATCTTTTGGAAAGCTCTCAAGATAAGCTACAAGAATATGCAAACAAAAATAGTAAATTCTATTTAAGAAATCAAAGATGACCTTCACGTGACCTTTAAATAATTATACAAGGTCAAACGACAATGACATCATCTTATGTCCCCCTCAAAATAAGAAAAAAACTTTGTTGTTGAAATATTTTTCGTATCTCTCATAATTTTCGAAATATTTACCTGAGGTGATTAAAATGAATGTATTTAAAAAACCCTGTATATAAAAAATTCTTTCCTTATTTTGACGCGAAGAATACGCCTTAAAAGTTCGTCAAAGTATTTCGTAAACACCCTATACAGATACAACGATGTTAACTCACAGATTCTATAGAATCTTGATGAGAGAATCTCGATCCGGTGAGAAAACCAGTCTGCAATTGTTGAAGCGGACTCGAGGTCGACGGAGAAAAATTGGTTAAAACAGAACGTTCAGTCATCCCGGGTATATTGACCGGAGCTGAGCTACCGAGTAGACCAGAGCTAGCTAGGCCTGCTGATATCGAATTGCCGATCGGTGAATTTGTATCCCTCGTATGAATTGAATCGACTAAATTTAACGGGTCATCTAGATGTAACTCGTCTAATGCATTTCCTGCAAAAAAAAGAGATCAAACATCAACGATGTTGTTTTGTTGTTTTACATGTTGGATATCGCGAATAAAGGTTTCAGCGAGTGATCACTTACCTACTACAGACTCGACGGTGTCGTTTGAGTAAAAAGAATTTGATAGCGGGGAGACAGTAGTTGCTAAAGAATGACTTCCTAATGTCCCATTCAAATTGTACGCAATATAAAGACCTTGCTTCTGTTGTGCTTTATCAGCTTTAGATAACAATGGATCGCTGTCAATAGCGATCATTTGCTTTCGAATTTCACTCTGTTGAGATCAACAACATCATTATTAATCGCGATTATAATTGCGGACATGTTATCTATGTCCTATAGGAAATTGCTGAAACGAATCAACTGTTCATTTTTTAATGCATGCAGTTGAGAAAATAAAAATTGTGTTAGAAAGAGGAAAGTCTGCAGTTTTTAATGGATATAAATAAAATGTTTGTTACTAGTTTAGCTTATTAAAAAAACTAATGAAAAAAGTGCTAATAATCACATATGTAAGCTAATGATAAATATTTTCGAAAAGTGCACACTATTTGAATTTATTCTGTTCTTTTATAAAAACAAAATTGTTTTTTTACGAAAACTCGTAAAAACTTTCTAACATGTCATTTTTTTTATGTTATTGACGATCCTTTTAATAGCTGCTATTAACTCTGGCACTGTTGAAAATATTTATCATTAATTTGTAATTTTATGTGATTATTAGCACTTTTTTCATTACTTTTTATCTATAAAATAAACCGGTATATAAACATTTTAATTATATCCACTAAAAACTGTAGACTTTCCTCTTTCCAATACAATTTGTTTTCTCAATAACTACATGCATTAAAAAATGATAGCTGATTAGTTACAGCAATTTCCTATCAGACACCCTGTATATAACATTCAAAAAAAAATAAAAAAACTTACAACTTGTATGAGAGAACTGGGGTTGTACAGTATGCTAAGTTTTTGCTGTGCGGCCGTATTTATGCCGGAATTGTTATTATTGGAATTATGCAACTGAGCACCAGGTGCTTTGCTGTGTGAACTGTTGCTACCTAAACTGCTAATGCTGCCAGATTCCGAAACTTCACCGCTACCATTCTGCAATATTCAGTATACAATGCGATATACACCTCTTTTTAAATCTCCGGAATTTTCGTGGTTATATTAGATTGACGTTAGAGGCGAGAAAACACACGCTAAAAATTTTTCAATGTCACTTTTAAATAAAAAAATATTTTGATGAAACACTTACTTCAAATGACTTTAGCACACTTTTAAAATACTTGGAAAATCATTCTTTGACTGCACATGCACCAAAACCTCATATTTATCATTTTATAGCTGTTGATTGATTATAAAGGAAAAATAATAGTTTAAAGGAATTGTAAGAGTGTGCTACAGCCAGCTGAAGTGATGTTTCATCGAAATATCTTTTTATTTCGAAATGGCACTTAAGAATCTTTAGCATGTGCTTTCTCGCCTGACGTCACAATCTGACATAGCCGCATCGAGGACCCAGGAGCCTTAATACGTGCAGAAAATCATAAATCTCATTTTATTCGAGCCGAAAAATATCGAGTGATCCATGACATATCGTGTTCATAATAAATCGAAACTCACGCTACTGTCACTAAGCGGCTTGTCCTTGTCGTGTGAGCGCTTGTCGGGTGGAAGAGCGTTGCTGAGTATGTCCGCCAAATTCGCCCCGCAATCTATAGGTACCGCCATATCTCTCGCCAGGCTCATTTCTTCTGTTGGCAACACTGCTTCCATCAACACACCATACCAACGTCCCAATATATCAATTTTGAGATACAATTTTGATGATTCATCATTTAGCAAATATCAAATTATCATTCATTTAGACTCTATATGCACTATGAGTTGATCCAAATGTAATGTATATACAGGGTGTCCCAGACATATTGTACCACTCGTTAATGGAAGATTCTTGAGGCGATTTGGAAACGATATTTCCTCAGCGAAAACATCCAGGCACCAATAATTTTCGAGTTCTAAATGATTGAAAATAAAAACTGTTTTGTAAATTAAACCTTGTAAAAATAAATTATTAACAAAACTATATTTTTATCTAATTTTAGGTAGTCTACTTTAATAAAATTTTAATTTAAGGCTTAATTATAAAGATACATGATTTTAAAAATCGAGAACGTTAAGAAAATGATTTCCTTTCTCGACCTTTTCGCTGAGGAAATATCGTCTCCAAATAACCTTAAGAGTCTCCTATAAACAGATAGTATGGTAGGGTTAAAACACCCTATATATGTTTGCAAAAATAATTTGTGATAAACTCGACCAAATGCAATCATTAATGAAAGACGATAGATTGTAATAAATGTAAATATATATATATATATATATATAAGTGCGCGCGCGTGTGCGTGCGCGTTCGTGCGTGTGCGTGAGTGTGCGTGCGTGCGCGTGCGTGTGCGTGTGCGTGTGCGCGCGCGCGCGCGCGCGCGTGTGTGTTGTGTGTTGTGTGTGTGTGTGTGTGTGTGTGTGTGTGTGTGTGTGTGTGCGTGCGTGTGCGTGCATGTATACATGTATACATTATTAAATTATATGTATGCATAAATGTACACAAGATGTTTCATTATATAGTCAAATATTGCTGAAACTATTGCTATAACGAAAACATTTTTATTTCACACAAAAGCTAAAAGATTTTATGAGGATAAAAAAAAAATTGATAATCTTAAATTTTAATTAGTCATTCTTTAAGGTCATTTAAAAGTCAACCTAATTTTTTTTAATAAAACCACTTTTTGTATAAATGAATTTCTCGCAATATTAATTCGATATAACAAGTTAAAAGGGCAAAATAACCAAAAAGTAAATAATTTACGAGATGTTTTGTACTATAATTATATAATTTTACATAAAATATCTCGTAAAATGTTCACTTTTTAATGATCCTACTTCAATGCTTTTATGGACGAAATAATGCGAGAAATCAATTAATATAAAAAGGAAAAACGCATATCTAACTAAAGTCATTTTTCGAGGTCATTTAAAAATCAACCTAATTTCTTTTAAATATAACTACTTTTTTGTATAAATGAATTCCTCGCAATATTCGATAAAAAGTTATAAAAGTAAGATGACCAAAAAGTAAATAGTTTACAAGATATTTTAAATATAAATTTAACATATATAAGATAGGCAATAAGAGCCAAATCGCGGATGACAGTGCGTTATTCTAAACGAAACTAAATTTTTTTCGTTAGAATTAAATACCTGTGCACAATGGATCTCGCACTTTATTTCTTTAGGGGGAATAGGGGATACATGGAATTAAAAATCTCTTGTAGAGATTATTCCAATTTTATATCTTGGCCGTGTCCAAGTAAAAATTTGGTGCCTTGTGCACAGGTATTTAATTCTAACAAAAAAAATTTAGTTTCGTTTAGAATAACGCACTGTCATCCGCGATTTGGCTCTTATTGCCTATCTTATATATGTTAAATTTATATTTATATATTACAGAGCCTAGTTAAACTCTTAAGATATTTTAAACTTTAATTATGTAATTTTACATAAATTATAAAATATCTCGTAAAATGTTCACTTTTCGACGATCCTACTTCACAATCCCATTTTTATGCACGAAATAATGCGAGAAATCAATTGATATAAAGAGAAAAAAACGCATACTTGTTTAAAAAAAAATATGTAGCTGCTAATTGCAAATTACATAAACACATAGAATAAAAACTGCATAAGGCACGTGTATAATTATAATAGGACTGTTTTACGTACGATTGATGAGTGTACACTCACGGTCAACATGCGCGAACGCGCAAAAGACTCCGCGCGGACAATAGCCGGCCTGTTGCACGTCGTTGCATTTGGTAGACTTGTAGATCTCGGGATGGAATTGCTGTTCCGTCCGTGTGTGACAATACGTGCACGCATCTCCCTGCTCGCAGTTGCCCGGCTCGCCCCATTCCTCGCCGTGTTTCACGTTTGGGCATGGTGTCGATCTATATAATTAATTTACCAGGTGTATACACACAATTATTTATAATAGAATAGGGAAAATATGCTAATTCGTACTAAGATAGATATAAAAGTTGCACGATAAACCTATAAAAAAATTGAATCTTAAATAACTAAAGTCATTCTTTAAGGTCAATCTAAATTTTTTTTAATAAAACTAGTTTTTTTGTATAAATAAATTCCTTGCAATATTCGATATAAAAAGTTCAATAAATAAAAAAAATTTGTCAAGAAATGACAAAATAATTTTATTCATTTAAAACTATGGTTCTACACTAAACATGAACGTAAATTTATCATTGTTTCATATCGTAAATTAAACATTTTTTTTTTTAATTATTAAAATTTATAATACCAGTTTGCTCAATTATATCCATGATTTTTTAAGTCGTACCTCTAACAATAAAATTTAAAAATGTAATAAAAATAAAGTTTTATTTTTTACAAAAATTCTCAGTCTACAATAAAACGTATTTATAAGAATGTCATATATTATAATTATTTATTTATATTATAATCATAAATTATCTTCAAAAATTTAACAAAAAATATTTTTGTGTCACGCACAAAAATATAAATAAGTATTATCTCAATATAACTATAAAATTTGATATTTTCTTTAACTGTCCATCTAAATATAAAGTGTCTAAGTAAAAAATTTAATAAATCGTACCAATATAAGAAAAAGTTAGTGGTTTACTGAATTTCCATTACTTTGTCAAATTTATGAATAAAAAAAATAATCTTAAACATTTTGCTAATTTTTCAATACTTCCACATAAGATTAAAATAAAAAAATTTTTTCGATAATAAATTTAAATCACATAAAATAAATTTAGGAACGTCACTCATTAACGGATTGCTCGAGAAGAAAACAAATATTGCGGTATTCGAATGAGACTAGCTGCGATACAAGATACATCTGTTTAAAGCTCTTAGATCCTCACTGCGGTCATGTTAGATTGTGACATCAGAGGCGAAAAGCACACGCTGAAAATTCTTATTGTTAGATGTCATTTCGAAAAGAAGATATTACAATAAAGCACTTCAGATGGCTTCAGCAGCCTCGAAAACTATCCTTTTCCCATTATAATCCTCTGACAGCACAATACCCTCTCCCAACCTCTCCCCCGATTTATAAATAACATACTTTTCCCTAAATATTTTTTTATCGCATTCGTGATTGCGATTGCCAATTAATCAGTCGATTACTCGATCTTTTTTATACCGATATTTGTATTTCCGTGGACTGCGCCTCTTGTCCTTGCTGTTGTGATATTGTGGACAGGCGTAGCCCTGCCGGCAGAGCCTCGGCGGTCTCTTGCACGGCTCGGTCTTGTAGTTGCTCAGGACGTAATTCGTGTCCTGCCACTTTGGATCCTCGTTCATTAGATTTCGCTCCTTGTCGAGTATATTAGGCCCATTGGACGATGAGTTCGGATCCGAATCGGGATTCTCCAACGCCTGTATCTCCTTGATGTCGTACACGGGTGGGCGCAGATCGTGATTGCCGTGCGCGAAGGCGCAGTGCGGGCCATTTTTCACGCAAAATCCACGAGTGTCCGTGTCGTGAACGCACATACACGTCTTGTAATAACGTAGGTGATAACGTCTCTCTGTATCACCCGCGGTACGATGCAGAAATGGACACCTGTTACAACAACAAGACGTTTCATTATCTTTGTCATGTAGTAAAATATTGTACACATTTCTTTTTTAATTATTTTTACATTTGTATATTTTGTATAAAACATAAAATATAAAATATAAAAATATAAAAAATATTTTATTAATTTAAAACGTATTTTTTTAAATATATATATATATTAATCTTTACATTAACACACATAAATATACAATTACTTATCTTGCATCTTTCCAATAATTAATTTTAATATGCATCTTTATATGTATATATATATACATACATATATACACACACACACACACATATATATATATATACATTTTCGTTTTTTTCGATTACATAAATTTATTTAAAATAAATTCCATCTACATCTCTATCATATATAATCTTTTCTCATAATTTAATCTGTTTTTTAAATTAATTGGCATTCTCTGTTTCTACGTATACAATATGTACAAGTTAAAAAATTATCTTAATTTCATATCTAAGTCACCATCTTCTAATTATAATTTTTATTCTAATAATATTTTATCAATAATTATTCGCTATTCATGTATGTGTGTCATTAACTCATTAATTTATCATCGCATTTTTTGCTACTTGTAAATTACTTGCTTTGTAATTCTACGTGTATTTTTTCCAAAAGTTTTCTATTTTCATCAAAATAGACACGTAAGCGAATATATGAATAAACTTTGAACAATATTAAGAAAATTTTATATATTATTTTTAAAGTAACACCAAGAAATTGAACTATACTTAATTTCTATTGCTGTTATAAAATATACAGAGTGTACCAGTAAAAGTCCTACAACAGTTAATATCTCGAAAACAAAAGATTTTTGAGAAAAATGTTTCAAATAAAAGTTGCAAGGCTTTAAGTAATAATATTAGTGTAATAAATAGCATTGTGTTAAGGCCACGTAAAATTTACTTTGAAATTTTTTAATGAAATCCTTATTTTTGATTACATAGACCCGTTTCTACCAACGTCGATTAAATTATATACTTGTCTCTATTCAAATAAGTTCTTAAAAAGAGACAAAGATATAGTTTAACCGAAGGTTTAATTTAATCGACGTTGGTAGAAACGGGCCTTTGACGTTTATTAATGGCGTCAGTTTGCTATTTGAGTTTTTTACTGAATTTTAGAATATATATAGTATACATATATGGTGTATATATTGGTTTAATTTAATCGATGATGATAGAAACGGGCCATATTCATGTGACTTATTTTAAAAGTATTTCAAAACTCCATTATAAAATTTGTTTTCTATTAAGTAATTTTCAAGTTATAAGACTTAAAAGATGAAGTATTTTTTTCTAACATAAAATACAAAATATATCTTGTAAAACATTCAGTTTTCGGTAATTACTTAATATTTATCTTAAATATTATTTATGTGCAGAATAATGAACTAATCAATTGATATTAAAAAACCTATAATTATTTTTAAGAAAAAATATATTACAAATTGTATACATTTTCTACAAAAAATTATGCGTTTTCTTTGCACCAATTGATTTATCTCACTATTTTATGCATATAAAAGAATTAAGATACAAGATATTTTGTATTTTATGTCAAAAAAATATTGTAAACTTCAAGCATTATAATTCAAAAAACATTGAATAAAAAAAATACTTTCTTATAGCGTTTTGAAAATCTCTTGATATAAGCTATAAAATGTGCAATCAAAAATACGGATTTTATTTTTAAAAAATTTTTAAAGTAAAACAATTTTAACAATGCTATTTATAGTCATACTAACATTATTATTTAATGCGCCACTTAAAGCCCTACAAATTTATTTAAAACATTTTTTTTTTAAATCTGTATTTTTAAGATATGTATTTGACTGTTGCAGAACTTTTTAAACACCCTGTATATAATATTATAAATTTTTAGTCAAACTGTACAAATAAAATTACGAATTGTATGAATTATTTTACGATATACACTCGAAGAAGGATTTGAATACATGTGATTCTTTGTTATGTGCCATCGTGCCAAGTACGCGAGGGGAAAAATCGATAGGAGCAGAGGCTCCTTTGTTCGACGAATTCGTAACGTAGGTAATAGGAAATTTTGGACGAATTTATCATATCCTCGTAAATCCATCGTTCAATGAAAATTACTCTATATGCATCCAAAAAATCAAATTAAAAATTAAATTGAATTAAATTCAAAATAAAAATTAAAAGTTAAATTGTTTTATCGAACGCGATAAAAAACAATTTAACGATAACCAATTTATTATAAGTAATATAGATTCTCTCATTTAAATTCCAAGCGATAATTTTGCGTAAAAATTTTAAAGTTTCTCTTGAAAATTTTCTATCGGAACCATTTCGTAATACAAAAAAACACACAAATGTAAAAATATTGATATATCCATAAAATGACAAAATGACGAATACAATCGAATATAACATTTTCTTTTTAACTTTTCTACCGCCAGAGTGCGGGGTCGCTTTTTCAAAGTTTTAGATTAAACAAAATTTTTTTAAATTTTTTCTTACAAAAATTTACCTCCTACCGGAATACCATTTCGTAAAAAAAAATAAAAACTGAAAAACTGATCGCATCCTTTTCTTTTTTTCCTTCCTCTCTCTTCTCTAACCTCGATTTCTGATCTTTCATAATCTCGAATCGCGAGATGATTCCTTCCTAAAAATCCTGGCTTCCGAGAAGCGTTTCGCGCGCGCGGCAAGGAACTTCGGAATTCGATACGAGAGAAAGGTGTAAAGCGCTTTAGGCACTCTTACACAATTAGGCTAAAAACAAGCGCAGGCGAGACAGATAAATATATCTTTATAATCGTATACAACGCAAAATGACTCTAATCGATTGAAGTAGATAATATAAGATATATA